GGCCTGACCCAGACACCTGGACTGTGAGGGGGATGAGCTTTCAGACTGGTGAGGATAAACCAGAGAGAAAGAGCAATGTGGACTGGGAGAGGAGGAGGGATACTGGGAGATCAGGCGTGATACTGGGAGAGAAGGGGACATACTGAGAGATCAGGAGATAAACTAGAAGAGGAGGAAAGATACTGGGAGATCAGGAGAGATACTGGGAGAGGAGGGGGGATATTGGAAGAGCAGGGGAGATACTGGGAGAGGAGCAGAGATACTGAGAGATCAGGAAAGATACTGGGAGAGGAGCAGAGATACTGAGAGATCAGGAAAGATACTGGGAGAGGAGGGGAGACATTGGGAGAGGAGGGGGGGATATTGGAAGAGGAGGGGAGATACTGGGAGAGGAGGAAAGATACTGGGAGATCAGGAGAGATACTGGGAGAGGGAGAGGAGGAGGACAGCGATCTTGAGAGGAGAAGAGAGCTGGAATGAGAGTCAGGTAGAGAGGTGAGAGAGACTAGGGGCTGGGGAGGGAGGGAGTAGGCACAGCTGACGAGAGAGAGAGGGAGGGGAGAGAGGGAGGAGAGAGAGAGAGAGAGCGAGAGAGAGAGACGGAGAGGGAGAAAGCTGTCACACGGCACAGCATCCGTGCGACTGCAGCGGCCGCGGACCTGTCCGAGCAGCACCCGCAGGTAGGCCGTCCGGGAGCCCCGCGAGTCCCCGCGAGTCCCCGCGCGGTGTCGTCGCTCCTGTCCGTCCCGAGAATCTCGCGCTCAGCCCGGCGTGTCGCGCGCGCGCACCCCCGCGCCTCGCCCCGTCCGCGGCTGCAGCGCCGGCTCCCCCCGTGGGAGTGGGGGGCGAGGACCTGGTCTCGGGGCAGCCGAGTGGGGACACTGCGGCGAGGGGCGATGCGGAGCGACGGGCTGCGTCGTGCACAGCGCTGCCCGATCGATGTGGCCGGCGATCGATAAAAGCCGGCGCCCGTGGGGGCTGTAGCCAGGCGATGACGTCATACCGACCCCTGCACGCTCGTGCCCCCGCCGTCCTGACGACCCAAGCGGCCCCCGGTGCGGTTTCGGGCAGAACCGATGTGTTTGGGGCTGCGGCACAGACGAGGGCAGCCGAATTCATCCCTAGGCAACCGGTTCTGTTCCCTGGTGCCGGGCTCGGTCCGTCGCGGTACCGGCAGAGAGAGAGAGAGAAACAGGGAGCGAGAAAGACTCGCCCAGACTGGGGAGAGGCACCTGCGGTCCGGTGGCGTCGGTCAAACGGGTTCTGAACGCCATCGTGACCGGAGACAGAGCCGCCCTGAGCCGAGGGCGGTGTGTGCGGGGTTAGTTATTCACAGCGGGCGCTTGTTGACGTCTGGTCCGCGTCGCTCCTCCGGAGGGCGTGTGCGGCCGGTCAGCACCTTTATCGTCTCCCCGATGAAAAACGTGCCCGATCTGTCGGCGTCTGTGTGAGTGTGTTCTCTGCGCTGTCCTTGCAGGTGCTGAGGGACCTGAACATGGCTTGATGTCCTGCCCATCCCTCCTCTCCCTGTCTCCCTTCCTGAATCTCCCACACTGCCCCACACAAGACTGAGCTCACTGACAGGACACCCAGAGCATCGCTGCTACACTGAGAATCACACACACACACACTCTGAGACACAGAGAATCACACACAGTCAGACTGAGAATCACACACACAGTCAGACAGACACTGAGAATCATACACAATCAGACAGACTGAGAATCTCACACAGTCTGAGAATCACACACAGTCAGACACTGAGAATCACACACACACACTCAGACAGACACTGAGTATCACACACAATCAGACAGACTGAGAATCTCACACACAGTCAGACTGAGAATCACACACACTCAGACAGACACTGAGTATCACGCACACACAGTCAGACACTGAGAATCACACACACACTCAGACAGACACTGAGTATCACACATGCCCAGTCAGGCTGATGTACAGAATCATACACACACACACAATCAGGGAGATACAGATAAGCACACATAAATACCCGACACAAAGAGAAAAACACAGGCACACAAACACCAAGACACCAGAGAGTTTCTCTGTCCACTCTCTTAGTCAGCACCTCTGCTCTCTAGCGCCCCCCAGAGTAAAGACTGGTTGATCTGTGTTGGGGGGGGGTGAGGAGAGTTGAAAAGTGTATTTCATTAGTGTTACCAGAAACATCAATATAAATTCAGTCCTCTCTTCCCAGTTCTCCCATCATGCTCTCCTCTCCACTGCCGTCAGCTCCCACTGCAGCCCTCCCCCGTTCCCACATCCTCGACAACGACAAACGGCAGACGGACAGGCCGAGGAACGAGCAGGGGGAACAGAAATCTTCGGCGCTAGGGAGCCGGAGGGAAGATAATAACATGAACACCGCCCTGGCCCCGCCCCCGGCCGCCAACAAGCCCCGCCCCCAGCCGGCCTCCTGGAAGATGCCCTCCGCGTCCCCCAGGGCAGGAGGGGGTGAGGATCAGACAGCGGCGGGGCAGCGCCAGGGGGGCCAGGAGCCGGCCCAGACACGACCGAGCGCGGTTCTGGAGCCCGACCCAAACTGCAACGAGCCGAGCCTGCCCTGCCTGTGCTGCGACCTGCACTCCCCGGACAGCAGGAACGACAACCACAACAACAACGGCCCGCGCCGCAAGAACAACAACACAATCTCGCAGCAGGGGCCTCAGCTGCACCCGTGTCGCCCCCCGCTGGCTGCCACCGATCAGGGCCCGCCCGGCCTGGAGCGGGAGGGGACCGAAGAGCAGGAGGAAGGAGCCGAGGAGGAGGAGGAGGACGAGGAGGACGACGAGGATGAAGACGACACTCTCGTGCCCTCCTGCGGCGACTGCCCACCCTCCCTGCTGGACTTCTCCCTCTCGTCCTCCTCTTCCTCCATCAGCAGCTGCTCCGACTTTGAGTCCGACTCTCCCAATCCCCTCTCGCCTCCGGACTCCAGCCTGGGCTCCCTGCGCTCCCCCGGGACCCAGGGCCGGATCGTCTCGCCGGAGCCGCAGCCCGCAGACGCCCCCCTCTCCCCCGACGAAGGGTACCCATCGGCCCGCTGCTCCCCGTCTCCCGACGAGATTCCAGGGAAGGAGGTTCTGCGGGCGCTTCCCCTCCGGGAGAATCCCGAGTTCAGGGAGGGTCAGCAGGACGTCCAGCGGGGGGATCTCCCGCCCCCGGACTCGCTGGCCCCCTCCCCCCTCCAGGTTTCCCCTCCCCGCCCCGGCATGGAGGGCATGGGATCCGGAACGTCGTCCTCGTCGCTGACGACCGTCTCCCCGTTCTCCTCCCCCGAATCCGAATCCGACCGGAACGACCCGGCTCTCCGGGATTCCCAGCTGCCTTCCTCCTTCTTCCCCTACCGCGCCTCCCGCTCCCCGCCACCGCCTCCTCCGCCGCCCCGCCGCCCCAGGAACGCCGTTCCCAATATCCCGTCTGGAAGACAGCCGGACGATCCCGGTCCCGTGGAGGTCGACCGCAGCCAGGCTCCGGCTCCCCTTCCGAAAACCGGGAAGGCCCCCCCTCCTCTTCCCCCGCCTCCGTCCTTCCTGGCCCTGGACGCGGAGATCTGCCGGCTGCTGGAGCTGGCCGGATTGTCCCGGCACGAGCTCCCGGGCCTGAGCCCCGAGCCGGAGGGGCCGGGCTCGTCTGTGCCGACGGGGTCCCGTGCGGAGCTGGGGTTTGTGGACAGGCTCCCCCCACAGCCGTCCCCCCCGGC